TATCTGGAGTACCATACGAAGCGAAGTTGACGAGGCGCGACTGCAGACAAATCTGGACCACCTCGAGCAATGGTCAAAAGACTGGCTTCTACCGTTCAACGTAAACAAGTGTAATTTCCTACGCGTCGGCAGAACCAGTTCTTCTAACCAGGAGAACTTACTACTTCATGGTGACTTCAACGCTCCAGGAATAGACTGGAACATTCCCCTAACAAACGCCCCGTCCACGTCATTTGACCACAAGCCACTACAGCTCTCTTTGAATGAATACCTCATTCAGCACATAAAATTCGGAACAAGAATGAGAGAAGGACAACGATCTAACTGTTTAGATCTCGTTTTCAGTAAAGAAGAAGGACTCATAAAGGAAGTTAATCCACAACCTCCGACGACAAAAAGACCATGAAGAAGAAACAGAGACTCTGGAACAACTATTTGCAACTTCGAGATCCAAGGTCACTCGCCGAATATAAGGATCAGCGCAATAAATGCCGCAAAGAAATACGGGTTGCTAGAAGTTCTTTCGAGCGTCGACTGATAGCAGAATCCATTACATGTCCCAAGAAGTTTTACGGGTACATCCGCAGTAGGAGGAAACATAGGGACGAAATTGCGTGTTTAAAGGATAGCCTCGGAAACTTAGCCGTTGAAGGGCCACAGAAAGTGCGATTACTGTCTCAGTTTTTTCAATCGGTTTTTACGGAAGAGTCCCTAGAAGACAATCAGCAGTTTGAAATGGACCGAGACAGCCGGGAGCTTCAAATGCGCCAAGATATTGCCGTCATTAAAACCGTCGCCTTTTCCGTGGAAGAAGTCAGACGAGTCCTCAGTCAAATAAAACCTGATAAGTCTCCTGGACCCGAAGGAATTCCCGGGCTGATACTTAAGGAGCTATCAAGGGAGCTGTCAAAGCCTCTTTCGACTCTCTTTGAGCTGTCAATGAGAACAGGAAGGCTGCCCTCACAGTGGAAGACAGCTAACCTCGTTCCATTGCATAAGGGTGGTAGCAAGATGACAGCAAGCAGCTTTCGACCTATTAGCTTAACTTGCCTCCCTTGCAAAACGATGGAAGCTATAGTAAAGAACGCTATACAGCAATTTTGTGAAGAAAATAACATCTTGCAGGATTTTCAACATGGCTTCAGGAGAGGACGTTCCTGCCTCTCAAATCTGCTAGCTTGTCTGGAAATCTGGACCAGGGCTCTAGAAGAGGGTTTTGAGGTCGATGTCGTGTACATCGATTTCCGCAAAGCTTTTGACACTGTTCCACACCAATGTCTTCTTCACAAATTGAGCGACATTGGCATCCAGGGAGATCTTCTGAACTGGATTAGGGCGTTTCTGGTTGGTCGGAAACAACGTGTCTGTATCGAGGATGATATGTCAGAATGGGTGATTGTGACCAGTGGTGTGCCGCAAGGCTCAGTTCTGGGACCATTGCTCTTCATCCTTTACGTTAACGACAGCCTTCAGGAACTCGGGTGCGGCAAAATAATGTTTGCAGACGACGTTAAGCTCTGGCAAGTCATTAAGGGTCCGAATGATCAGAGATAACTTCAAGATAATCTGCACCGACTGCAAGCGTGGTCGAAGAAATGGCTTCTAGATTTCAATGTGGAGAAGTGTTCCGTCCTTCAACTGCGTCCAACCAACTCTCATTCAAATGAGAGTCTGAGGACTTATCACCTTAAAGATATAAGTCTCCCCGCAGAATCTTCACAGAAGGATCTCGGGGTTTGGATACAGAACAACCTGAAACCAACACTGCAGTGCCACAAGGCTGCAAAAAACACCATGGGAGTGCTGCATGCAATAAAAAGGGCTTTCGTAAATTTTGACGAAGACCTTTTTGGGAGAGTTTACGGCACATTTGTTCGGCCCCACTTGGAATATGGCATACAAGCATGGCGGCCATGGCTGGTAAAGGACCATGAATGCCTCGAACGGGTACGACGGAGTCCAACAAAGCTGTTAAACGGTCTAAAAAGCCATTCCTACACAGACAGACTGAATTGCCTTAATTTATTCCCTCTGTGTTACAGGCAGCAAAGAGGTGAGCTTATCCTCGTCTACAAGATAATACATGGCCTTGAGTATGGACTTAAGTTTGAGGACATGTTTCAGTGACAACTTTCACCCAATCTTCGTGGTCACTCGATGAAGTTACGGGCAACAATGTCCAGGCTGAATCTTCGTTCTGAATTTTTCACGCAGAGGGTAGTGGAGAAATGGAACGATCTCCCCTAGTCAGTCGTGGAGGCTACGTCCCTGCAACTCTTCAAGAAACGCTTGGATGATTATTTGTGTCCCCTGTTTTCCCTCGACAGTCTGAATCTGTATTAATACCCCTGGTCCAGACAAATATTTTCTCTGAGACATTGCTACTCAAATGAACCAAGTACTGTTTTAATAGTGAACATTTTTGTTCGTGAACAGTTGTTCTAACTAGCTGACATGTAATCAATAGGGTTTTCAAAGGCTTTGCCTATTATCCTTACCAAATAAACTGAATAAATTGAACACGGTCTACCGTCTGACTGGCAAACCACTGCAAGAAGTCGACACCCAGAAGGAATTGTGTGTATGGAGCACAACCTCGCTTAAGCCTTCGCTGCAATGCTCAAAGGTAGCCAAGTCGGCGATGTCCATTCTATAGCTCGTCAAACGGGCGTTCTCCTCCTATGATGAAGACTGCTTCGCCAAGGTCTTTCAAACTTTCGTGCGACCGCACCTGGAGTTTGCAATCCAAGCATGGAGACCCTGGACCGCTAAAGACTTGGGCATACTCGAAAACGTTCAACGGCGAGCAACGAAACTTGTATCTGGGCAGTGGTCACTACCCTACGAAACACGATTAGCTAATCTTGACCTCTTTCCTTTGAGTTACTGACAGCTTCGTGGGGACCTGATACGAGCTTTCCGCATCGTGCGCAAACAGGGCTGCTGCCTCGCGTTTGGAGACTTCTTCGAGTTGACGACTACGACTAACCTGAGAGGTCATCCACTCAAACTGCGCGTGGCTGGTGACCGGCTAGACACCCGAAAGTTCTTCTTCTCCAACAGAGTGGTTGCAGCTTGGAATGCCTTGCCTGAGGATGTTGTTATGTCGGGCTCCGTAGATACTTTTAAACGGAGGCTTGATCAGCATTGGAGCGCGCACCACAATAACGCCGGACTACGGCCACCTTAACAGCCAACGTTGACAATGTAGTGTTATTACGATGCTACTGCCAACATTCAAGTAACATGCGTTTATGTAATTTGTTAATTTTGGATCACGTCGCACACCGCTGCTCACATTCACCACGATGCCTGTAGACCAAACAATTTTACTTCTTTTCCCGTATCTTAAGTGTGTCTAGACTGCCCGCTGCATTTGATCAACAAAGCAAGTTAATGCGACTCTAAATTCTGTTAACGCATGACATTCTGTGTTCATCTGTACAGTTTTTGCTATTCCCCTCGCATTTCTTTCATGTTACTTCCTTTCCATTTCCTCCATATATATCCTCTGCATGTAACTAATAGGGATTTCAAAGGTACACACCTACTTTCCCTGAAATATACTGATACTGATACTGATCCAGAAGACAATTACCTAGAAAAGCATTTAATCCGTAACCAAAAAAGACGGTCTGATTAATCACGATTCTAAGTGCGGGCCTTTTTGCGGACATGATCACACATCATTTTTTGGTATATTTTCATCAAAGGTATGTAAAAGTTTCTATTAATAGCGTATCCAGCTCTTCTGAAATAATCTCGCGTACACTTTATATTGCTTGGTAACTTTCGAGAGCATCCACTTTCCTGGACAATCTGGGGTTGTCATGTAATTTTAAGCTTGCGTACGACCATTTGTATTACCAATTAAAACCGTGCCCTAAACTTTTTCTGTTCGCATCTTTGCTAAACTTTGGTATTTTCGTTTTGGGCTCAAAACCTAGGCAGATAATTAGCAGAGCAGAGGGAGACCCTCTCAAAATACACGGAATAACTTGGGAATCTGCGTGCCGCTTATAGTTTGCTTTATACTTTGTTGTGATTTTACATTCTAAAAGTTTTTGAGCCTTCTAGTTTTCAATATCTGTAGAAAGCGACTAACGCGTTCTGTCATGGCGTAGAATACTACAAACAATTTGACATGGTCACCAGGATCTCCAGAAGTAATTTCTACTAAATATTTAATTCCTGAGGGCCTGTGCACTTGGTTTGTGACGTTTCGCGTCGTTTGGATAATCCATATATTTTTTGTTTGTATTCTCCAAAGCTCTAGGTCGCATATCGTGTTGACTTTAAATCTGCTCGGTATGTACGTCGTAACTTGTGCGTGCATCCTCAGTGGCCTGTTTATCTTATGTTCTGCGTTTGGAGAGAATGGTTTGCAGCGATTAACTCGTAATTTTTAGACCTTTTGGTTTTCACTGTTGCAACTGATTCCAATGACGCCTTCCAAAGATTCATGCGGTCTGCCAAAATGTTTGGTTTTGATGTTGAGGTTGGTTTGCCATCAAATTTTAGTACATCTCTAGGTGTTGGGTGCTGGCTCTCTATGGACTGGGGGAGACGTTGCTAGGTATCCCGGTGGGGGGCAGAAAATTCGTCTCCTAAAGGAGGCTTTAGAGGCATACGCAAATGATTCGGACACAATAGTTCTCTTTTTGGACAGGTAATTATGAGGTTTCAGAAACGGTTATTTTAACCCTTTTGTTGTTCACACTTTACTCTCTTAAATCAGTGCACGCCAGCTCTCCACCTTTGTCATTATTTTTGAATAAATATATTTGCATGCCGATTATATTTTAAGCTTTAAGTTCCATCCTGCATGTTCCCTCAATTACATTTTAGGGCTGTTTCAAAAATTCTTCGCGTTTTAATCTTTGCACTTTACACAAACGTACGACCACTTTGCTCACCCAGCCTATATACACTAAGGACAGAGTTGTATTCATCGATAGAAAAAGGGGTTCTCTGTACATCCGATGCGCTGGTTGTTGTGTAGTTTGCCATGGCGAAACTTGGAAGTCTGCCTCCACCCGTATGCACGTGCGCCAGCCAGGCGTGAGTAGACAAGCTCACATACCCGACTGACCATGCACACACTGGATATATGTTTGCATCTAAGGGGACTCACATCGTTGACCCATGATCAAAAAAGATTCATTACCTATTCCTGGAGGCATTTACTCAGATGGGGCATAAACCAGTATACCTATCTCTATGCGCACAAGAAGTAGACAAGCGCAAATTATTCTGGAGGGCTGTCGCGATGCAGTAAATGTTCATTGCCTCGGGCACCAGTCACCGCCATTCGTGTTATTAATACACAAGAACGGCTTACTTGTTAGTCTTGATTCAAAAAAGGTTCTACATTTGACTGAATTTTGCGGCTGTCGCATGCATTGGATTGTATGTGGCTTTCAAAGCAACATGCCTATTAGTGCCTCATTATCTTGGTGCACCGCACCCATGGATTTACGGTTTTTATTCCTTCCGCAGAAGCCTACGGTGCTAGGTTCCTTCCTTGCAAAACGTATGCTCGGTATTTCTGTGGCTACCTGGAGTAGTATATTTTTGTCTTCTTCCCACCAACCGGCATTCGTACATAGAGATGGAGGAAAATTGTCTGATTCGACCATTATAGCCTGCATTACTACTGGAATATTCGATTTGTTGACAAATTCTATTAATAGCGCATCCAGTTTTTCTGTAATGATCTCGAGTGCACTTTATATTGCTTAGTCACTTTCGAGAGCATCCCGTTTTCGAGCAGAAATGAAATACCTCTACAAACTCTTCTCCCAAAATGGGTACCCACATAACTTTATACGTTAATGTATGAGGCACCAACAACTCAAGGAAAAAGGTATTTCCAATGCTACGGCCGCTCAGGCACCAAAACCAACTCCATGGCGAACTCAATCATACGTCAAAAATATACCTGAACTAGTCGAAATACAATTGAAAAGTACCAGATACACGTAGCACAGCAGCCGGCAACTACCTTACGCACACAGCTTGTACACCCTAACGACAGGGTTGGCCATCTCGAAAGAAAAGGTGTTGTCTACAAAATCCCATGTTCTATTCGTGATGCCGTTTATTATGGCCAAACTGGGAAATCTGTCTCAACCCGTATATATGAGCATCAGTTATCGGTGAAGAGACGCAACCATATATCCCAGGTGGCCATGCACACACTGGACACTGGACATAAATTCGCATGGGAAAACACTCGCATTGTTGGCGCCTGCCCAACAAAGAGATGCCGCGAATTCCTGGAGGCAGTGCACTCAGATGTGTCATGCATCAACCGGCATATCGATTTAGATGCCACATACAAAATCGTTAAGGACTGATTCAAACCGACCCAACCAATGCCGAGATGATGACCTTAACCAATCATAGAGTCCTTTTGCCAGACTCAGTCTAGAAGTTAATTGTTTTTGCACGCCCGTTGTCTGAAGACGAACTGGGGAACCAGTCTCGAAAATTCACAATAAAATTTTGCTGTTTCCCAAATAACTTCACCTTTCTAACAAATTCTCTTATACGTAAATAGTCAACCACGTTCGTAAAATGTACAGGTTAGGTAAACAGCGCATTTGTAGTTTTTCGTTTGATCTACATCTGATTTTTCTTCTATAAGTTATTCGACGCTGTTCGTGTATGAGAAATTTCGCCACGTGACCGGTCTGGACCTCTGTGATGGTAGCAGTACCTATTTATTTAGACTCTTAATGTCTCAGGCACCTATGAGCAAAGTCGAGAGAGTATCCATTGTGGGAAAAGTATCTGAAAAGACATTCTATTTCTGCACGATAACTTTTTGCCGAAGCAGTCAGTTTTGGTTAGCAGTGGCAAACTGTTAGCAAGCCCTCAGTCGCATGACAAATTAAGTTTACTCTCATAATATTGAACGCTCTCTGAGTTTTTTCTGCTGTAAACCGACGAATGCTATTTTGAATATGTGTTCATGCGCAGCTAATTTTTACTAAGAATAGTACCTACTCGTTCCGTTCTTGTAAAAGCTCGTCTGTCAGCCTGTAGTCGCTGCTTATTAAATTTTTACGTAGGTACAATCTGGGGCCACTGTTGTGATGACTCTGAAAAAGCTATCAAAACGCCTTTCTTATTAAAAGTTCTCGATATCCACGGCTGTGTTCATTTTTCGTTAACGCGGGCTTATTTTAACATGTCTGACTCCCGTAATACGCACGGAAGTTGCCAGTTTACTTTTTTTCTTATACTGTCTTTTTAATCGCATATTGTCTACAACTCATTGTGGTTTTGCCAATCTAGCTATGATGTTGTCTTCTTGAATGACAAAGCGGAATTTCTGCGCAAATACCGGAAATTCGATGCAAAAGTTGTTTTTTCAGCGGAAGTTTACTGCTGGCCTTCTCCCTCGCTCAAGGTAATTTTGTACATTTAGTACACTTTTCTTCTTTCACCGTCGGTTAAATGACGCCAGCAGTCAACTTCCAAATTTTGCCCCTGGCTACACATGTCCCTCCCGTTTGCCCACTAAAATTGCAAAATTCATAATTCGGGTTCCAATCCAAACAGCTGTGGCTTAAATGCATTCTTTGAATCTGATACGGTAAACTAGTCTAATCCGTTATCTTTAGAAGATCGGCCTTGAGAACACGGAGTAAAGCCATGGCCCAATTCTTTTTTTTGACGGGGTTCAGTTTGCCGAACGCAAACTTCTCGTTTTATTGGTCTAAAGACTTCCGTTTGAGTGACAAAAGTTTCCGAAAAGCTTCCTACTGAAGCTGCTCGTAGGAATGCACGCTATCACTCAAAACCTTTGTCCCAGCAAAGCGGTCCAAGTGTGATGTTTTTGATGTTAACTTCTAATGCGGTTTGTAACCATTGGAGCAGACCTCCGAAAGTTGCCAGAACGTCATGTACTCCCTCTGCTCTCTTTTATGGCAACGTTAGATTTATATAACGAGCAATCTTATATCATTCAACTCGCCTTTATTTATCTATCGTTTAGGCCAACTACCCACCAGTTACGGACGGCGAGAGCCGTTTCTTGAACTCCGGGTCATTCGTGGGTCCGGCGGCATCTCTGCACAGAATTTTAAGTCATGCACCCGTTGCTGACACAGATGATGACCAGCTTTACTACACCAAAATCTTCCTTGACGAAAAGCTCAGGGTATGCATTTGCACAACCTTTATACTCACTTACTTTAACGTCGTATTCGTCTTGACTTTTACACGCTCGAAGCACGTTCTGTCCAGAAACTACGAAATTATTCATGTGAGTATAGATCCCGAGGAAGTAGTACACTTTAAATACATTCCGACATCTTCGTTCCGGACGCCAATGCGATGAATCCCAACGTCGATGAATAATCATCGTTTAAATAGAAGGATGCGGACTCTAAATACTACAGCTAACAGTTGATAATTTTATGCCCCATTTAGCTGAATTATTAGTCTAAGTCAACTTATGCGGATTATTCGAAATTTCATGTTTCTCAGTCAATATTTGTGCAGCAAATGGAAGTAGAAGGCTGCAGTCACTCTCTGCTTGACTTCTTTTGTTTATTTGGAACGTATCCAGTCATTAGAGGCGGTTTAGCCCTTAATGCTAGACATAAAACCTTTTTAAGAATGGAGAACCATATATTTGTCAGCCGAAGGGTTGTTTGCATTTCCACTCTGTCACCCGTTCAGCCACCCTTTTTAACCTGGGACAAGTAGAAAGATAGTCCTTGGGAATTAAGCTAAATAGGTCGGATATGCAAGCGAGCGCAATGCGCTAAGCATAAGCAAGGGAACAAATGTTTGAGTGAATGTGTAGACCAGAAACCTCTGCCGTTTTTGTCTTTTGAAACACAATGTTCTGTTCAACTGTCAACAATCTTTTACCTTATTCAGAAAGAGATAGACATCGCTTTGGACACAAGATCGGAATTATTCCAAAATCTGAATGGTGTTCTAGGTATCATGCTTGCCGCAACTGTTGCGCTTGGTATCTCCTTAAATGCCCTGCATGTAGCACTTCCTGTACCTCAGGACTTGTATTTTATGTGCTATTCATATTTGTGTCTTTAAGTGCCTTGAAAAGTGACACCAGCGGACTTTTGATTGCTTGTTACCGGATGGAAGCTTTAATCTCCTACGCCCGCATGAAGTCCTCACAGAGCGTTTTTGGATATACAGATTATACATTCTCTCTGTTTTTTCCTTAAGACGACGTCCAAATCCAATATGGAGATGAAACCGGCTACTTGTACAACAAGAAAACGTCTACTCGGCCCGTCGTGGCGCATGGAAATGGACCAATAAAGGTAGGACCTTTTCCTCGGCACTATAGACGTTCTCTAACAGATCGAGTTCCCTTGTTTGTCGGTTTGGCTTTGGGGGCCTTTTTGTCATATTCGACCCACCAAATTCTCCCTCTTCCCTATTGGTCGGGTCTCTCTTTCACCTGACTACCATTTGCGAGCACATTGCTTATCGCACCAATCGTGTGGCGGCGTCATTCTAGTTGGCATGCCTGACCCAGTTTCAAATGCATATCCCTCAGACTGCACCGGACCCACGTTCGCTTTTGCTGGGCATCACAAGCAAGCCCTGCAAGCTCTGCAAGCTCGGGTCAGCGGCCGGATTTTGCGAATGCTGATTCACTATCGCCTAAGCAACTGTTGACCATTGCAGTATTTTGGCATTCGTGGGCGCTTCGCGTGCGCTAAGGGCAGGGCCGACACACGCCGGACCACCGCTAGCATGGACTTACGTTCACAAGCGAAAAGTAGGCTGCCACCCCTTAATGCAAAGAACATTAGTCGATCGCTGCGATAAGCGTTCTCCGAGCTTGGTGTATTCCACTGGCACAATTTTATGATACCTTATATCCTCTCCATTTCTACCAGATGGCAAATTATTCGTCACTCCTTTATCTGTCGCCCACTTCGTGAGGCAACGCCAGGGAACGGCGTCGCATTCGACGCTCGAGCTGTCGCATTGTAATCAACAAGTCTGTAAAGGAAACAGGCGGGAAGGCGGTGACAAGCACAGTAATTACAGAATCACAGTCATGCGGATTAATAGCTACGCAGCAACTAGTAGTGGTCGGTAACTCCTTCGCCAAACTGCCCACCGCCCCAAATGAGGCGTCATGGCAGGTGAGGGCCAGTTACTCGCCAAAACCACAATGGGTCACCGAGCGGTCTTCAAGAATGACAATTGCGGTGCTAATATTGCCTCTTGTGAATCGGATGTGTTTTCAAAACGCCACTGTAGTGAACGACTGATTCCCGACGTCGTCTACCATTTATTCTTGGTTGGACGATTTTTCTTATCCGGCTAGCTATTTATTTTGTGCGGTTATTAGGGTTCCGTCAAAAGAATTTTTTCCGACACAAGCTTTTCGACTGAAGGGCCACAAAAACATGTGCGTGCGCACACAGGATCATTTACAACAGTGTTCCCGCACTCACATAGTGTCGTGCGTCTTAAGCCGGTTGTAAAGGCGTCCCTATAATGACACACAAAACGGCCGCCGATTTTCGGACGGTTCCAGTTGACTCGTGCAAAGGAACCTCTTTACAATTGTTCAATCTTAATTTCTCTTATTCCTGCCTTTTGCCTTCTATGGTGCTGTCTCAAAGGTGCAATTCAACTCGCTGACCAATTACATGCCAAGAATGTGGACTCCCAACCGCGGCTGTCAGCACTGCCATGAGGACAACATCAAGCTGGAAGAGCTTAGCGTGAGTTTAATACATTTCATCCGCGTTTTTACCGATTCACCTTTCGTCAATCTAACCCCGCTGTCTGTTTGATCTGAGTTACGTCTGTGTTTTATGTTTTTCAGCACTTGACGTCAGAGGTTTTATGCCTAAGACCCATGGTCGATGGTTCTCAAGGTTGGAAAGGATTGGATTTCCTTTCGCCTCTGTGCAGTTGCCTTCATTTTATAACCCATCCAAGTTTATCCTGCGGCAATGAATGATGCCTTGACGTCTGATTTATAACGGAGACAAAACGCCTTTAAATCGGCGGTTTAACGACTACTAACAGACAAAAATATTAGTTTTTTTGCAATAAATCCTATTTACTGTCGCCTCGGCAGCAGATGTCCAGATTATCTGTTGCCCACTCAAAGCTACCTGCTTCGGCAAACCATATTTAGACGGATCAGATGTTTAGAGGATTCTGATTTTGAAGACCAGTTGTCGAGCATACATGTACTTTCGGCAAATTCCCATCGGGCCAGTGCATTTATATGCGAACGGGGTACAAGTAAAACATGTGGAAGACAAGCGAAATCAATTACAGTTTGTCCTTTCCCGTAAATGGGTGTGGGGACAGGCAGGGGTAGGGGAGGAATAAGAGACTGTGAATTAGGAGGCACCGAGGCTTAGGCGGAAGTTGGGGGGAGGGGGGGGGGCGATAGCGCGGAGGAGTGCATGCAATCAACCGACTTTTGTTTACGGTAGACGTGGGGCTTGTACGAGGTTCTTCTGTGCGTACAAGACCGGCTTTCGTAAGTTGATGCCAGTCGCCTCTACTCTTGCCAGCAGACGCTTGCCCAATAACTTAGGGTTGTTCGGTGGGACCTCATTAAGCACATGGAATACTGCGTTGGGGGTCCACGATGCGCGGAGTCAAATATGTGTGTGAGAATGGCGCTGTTTATGCATTTATCTTCGCCTTTTTCTCCATCATGCCGGGAGGTGTTCCCGTATTTTGGATACGCGTCTACCCTGACTGCATCGGAGTCTATTGCTACAATTTTTTCATTCGGGCTGCGCACAACTTTTCGCTTTAAACATCTAAATACTTCCCCTTCCCTATTAATTTGTAGGAGGACTTCTATCCGGTTGTGCAAATCAGCGCCTTCACCACCACACCGACACCCTTCATTGAAGATTTCTACAAGAACCTTGCAGACCTGAACTATCCCAAACATCGCATCTACCTCGTCCTCTACTGTAACGTATGTAAATCTGCATGTTGATACTCCAGTCCTCAAAATAACTAGATTCTGAATTTCGACTGATCCTCTTGATCCCATGACGCACTAATCGGTTTTGCTCAGTCCATGGGAGTCGGGTTCCATGATCCTACTGTAATAATTTCATTTTGATTAGAGAACCAAGTTTCGCTAACCAATGTTTGTTCTTAGTTGGAGATGTAAATTTCGCCGCTTCCTCGACGTCTGGGGAATTTGCGAAATACGCGTTCTCGAAGGGCTAGTAGATTGGAGCAAGGAAAACTTTTTCAGTGGATGTTTTGGGAATGATTTTCGCTTACCTGACAAGGGAGTGTCTCAAACGAAAATTCAAACTGCCTCATGCCCTTCCCCTCCCCGTTCGTTGATCTTTCTGAAATGGGCAGAAATTCACCCGCTCCTTTCTGCACCTTGTAATAGGTTGAAGAACATTATGCAACGCTTCTGGAGTTTAATGCCACACACGCATGGGAATACAAATCTTCTATCATACTCAACGAGAAAACCTATCCGACAGAACTTGCTGCCAAAAAGCAGGCCTGGTAAGGGTAGTGTTTTGGTGTCTTACTGTTGAACATCCATGCATTCGGCTTGTCCGAAATTGGTCCGCAGTCGCAAACTTTCCTATGGACACATTTAAATCCTTTGTCTCTCGGCAGGTCTGTGTGTCTCAGCTACGAAGACTGCGCCTTTGCACTGACCTTGGACTCCATCGCTCGACTCACTAACAAGGACACTCTTTACCACCTCGTCCGAATGAACCGGAACGCTCTTGCTCCCCTACTCTCCCGCCCTGGAAAACTTTGGTCAAACTTCTGGGGCGCTCTCAACCACGAGGGCTATTATGCCAGATCGAGTGACTACATGGACATAGTTTTGGGCAAGCAACGGTGGGTAATGACCCTGACACACGTCATTATGGCATGTCATTATTGCATTATTGCATTGCATTATTGCAGTCAGCTTTTGTATGGTCCCTCTGAGGACATTCGCCCTACATGCAAGTACTATACAAAGCACACTATTTTAATTCGATTACCTTTTTCTCTCATTGGGGCTGCTTTGCACGACTTCTATGCGGAAGTTGGACCGGAAATGTAGGCGAAATCCGTGTTTCAGTTAGATATCACAATTTCCGCAAGAAGGGTTTAACGCGCGCATACAAAGTCAGCACTGTTAAACGGAAACCCGATGATACTAACGTTTTGGGTGACATTCCAAATACTGGGAGGTGCAGTCATCGCAACCGAATACTCTAAATGCAACATTTCCCTAGAGCCTGCCCATCTCCGAAACGTTTGATATACCCACATTCATATTCGCAGACCCTGGACTGTGCTCAGCTAATTGGCAGAGAAACACAGTGCAAATATTTTGAAATGGGACGTTTTTGTTCAGTGCAATGTGTCCCTACTCCGGTTGAGAAGCAACTACATTACTTCCTGTTTATATTACAAATCGGCATAAAAATTAAGCTTCTCGATGATGCTGGTATTTCATACAGCTGTTTAAGATGCGCTTTAACCTCTTCTACCCCTTGAATAAGTATGTGGGTGTGTTTAACTGTTATGCCCATTAAACTCTTAGTAATTAGTGACACCTTGGTGTTCCGTGGGCAGAAGTGCGCAATCTCGGTGTTTGCAGGCCACGGCTTCGTGTGTTTTTTTACTTTACAAATTAACCAGACATTAATTAAACACCTGCCCCCCACTGAGTGCAGGTCTGAATCCTTAGCTCTAATAACCCAAGAGATTGATGACAGTCACTCACGAGCAGTTTGAGCCTTATATCGCCAGGCAAATAAGCTTGGCGATATTTCCTTTGATTCTTCCCATAGCATTGTCGGCCGTTGACAGGCCAGAGGTGCTGATCTAACGTAGACCATAAACGCTTTGACCGAGGGGGCCAAATACCCCCTGCAGAATAGCACTGTTTACGGCGGTAGGCTAGACGCTGGTCTTGTATCTGCGCCGACTTCTCTGACCGGACGCAATCACGACATAATAATTGAACTGTTTTCATGCTGCAGTTTGAGCAGAACCGACCTTCTTCTGCATCGTAGCATGATCAACCATGTCGTTGCAAGTAGTTCGTACATTACAACTTCCTACTCTTCAGGGGTATTTGGAACGTACCGTTTGTGAGTAGCGCTTACCTCTACTCACGTTGGACAGTTCGACAACTGGTGAATCTGCCCATCTCGGAAGAAGTGTTTGCTGACATGGCGATAGCGGAGGCAGCCCGTTCAAAGGTATGCATGTCCTTACTATATTGCATAGTCCCCTTACTTTAAAAATTATTTGTTCTGCGCTCTACCGACTAGTCACCCTCTTTCCAAGCTTTTCTTGCAGACGCTTGTCACGCGACTTTTGTGACAACTGTTTAATCACCTAACTGTGATGTTGGTATTTTGTGATCGTCGACTCTCCCTTTTGTCAGTTACTGTCCTGTTCGGCAGCTCTTATCACCTACGCTGACAAATGTGAGGTTGACAGGAGGAGACAGAAAAACTGCCTAAGTCAGGTTTAGCACAGCCCAGCAAGACTACTAAACGTGGTATGTTTACTGTGTAGTCACCAAACGTGTCACGCAGACCCCACACTCATGATATTGACTATGATACTTTAAAAGTGCCGTAAGCCATCGAACTCTAATGGAGGTGCTTTGCGCAGACTTAGTTGCATTGTAGGCGAAAAACCTTTTGCCGAAAATTTGCTGAGGAACTTGAGTTTAAGCACTGCTAAGTTGTTTAAACTGTTTTCTAGTATGCCATTTCATCCAATTTCATGTGCCTCCCTTCTCCAATCTTGATAAGTAGATTTTTCGTTTCGATTGGTTGCCTCGTTAGTAAAGTCAAGCATATGTATAGTCGGGCAGTCGCATGGCGACTGCATTCGAGGGTTCTACTTTGAGCCCCTAGGTACAATAGGATGAGCACGTTTCGTAACCTCATCAGTGAGCGCCCATCTACCATATACACATTTCGAAGGAAATTAGTTCTTTGCGAAAGGTAACGAATTTTATTTTCTATCAAATGTTGTGTTTGACTTGTTCATTCAGAATATTTTCCTCATGGTCGACAACCAAGCATATTTTGGGCATCTGATCAACGCGGACTCATACACAACCAAACATCTCTACAATGATATCTGGCAAGTGTTTGACAATCCACAGGCAAGTTTCTTATGTCTAAGTCTTCATGTCCCCCATTCAAGCTCACTAGTAACTATTATTCGTACTCTGCCCTTTTTGATTTCCTTGGAAACTAATGCGCGAACTTGAAATCCCTCGGGGTAAAACTTTTTAGGCTCCCTCCGAATGTTAATATCAGTATTTGAGCTGAAATTCATCAGATACTGCGGAATAACCGCATAATATTCACTAGCTACCGACAGGCACTCTGAATATTTGTACATTCACACCTATTAACTTTCCAGGTGTGAACATTACCCCACTACTTTGCTGAAGTTGATATTACTGAACTCAAATACTTCCATAAAAATTTGGTCAGGCGTAGTAGATCCTGTCTCGAAGACTTTCTTCCAGTTTCCTCCCATAATTATTGATTAAGAAAACAGCATTAGGAAACGCACCTTGGCCTATACTGACACCAGGGGCAGGTTGGGGAGGGGAGGGGAGGTGGGAAACGGATTGACTACTGCTGATTGGACTAACCGGCGGCGTCTTCTCTATGTTGGGTTGCTGTGGCTGCCCAAGTACCTAAACAGACTAGTGAGGGTTTTGAATGTGTTTACTGCAGTTTTTTGGCGGATTGAGGGTCTTCGGTCATTGTTGGCAGTGTTCTTTTGCTTTGCGTCCGTGCGGTTATGATTTTGGTGTCCAACGGTGGGATTCCGCGCCTTGAGTATACGTTGGCTGGTGCGGCGCGTTGGGTGGGGTTCATCACCACCCGAGTCTCGGTCTCGCATTACTCCTGGTCTTCTTTGGCCCACGCGCTCATTTACTTTAGGGGTCAGCAGCCCGCCAATTCGTGCATAACGGTCTACCACGTTTTTATTGGATTCCGAGCCATTGTAACGAAGTATTAGGGCTGTCCCTTTGTTGTTTTCCCTTCCCCCCTGTCAGCGAGACCCTGTAACTGAATCACCGTTTAATGACTCTTGGGGAGGCATTTGTTTGGCATCTGCATAAAATGGCTTCTCCATCGATGGGGGGTCTTCTTCTGCATTGCAAAGATGCTGAGTGTGCCGATCGATTCCGGGACCTGGATATCCTGAGGCTGTTCTTGCTCCCTCATAAATCCTCAGAAGACAACTGGCGTGGGGCGGCTGACTTTCCTCATTCTGGCCCTAAAAGATGTCCTGGTTTATGCGCTGAATAGACTTGGTCGCGACAACGAACTTCCACCATATTCAGCTGGATATTGAGAAGGATGCCGTAATTGTTCCCCGCCGAATGTTATACTTGTTGAAATTTCTAGCTGGTATTGGAGATTTGAGCAAGTACTTCCTCATCGACTGTGCCGTTCCAAAAGATTAGACTTTACGGTTAAACAAAATAATCCAGAACGCCTTTGAGCTGTTCAGTTTCAATGACTGCCGGCTCATGTATTGCACAATTTACGCCAATTCTGTTTTACTTTCATCTTGTACTTATTAACGCCCAGTCCTGAATTTACGCACCCAAGACTAAGTGATAAAACTTCAGCCGCATGTCTGCTTTTGAGTGGCGCAAGGATTTACATTTATTAGCCAGTTAGAGTCTTCCTGTTGGCTCAATTCCAGTCGTTTTGTTACGCTGTGCGGTCAGGGCTTCAATGCAGAAGGACGCGAAAGCATCCGGTTGAATCAGGGAGCGCCACTCCTACGTAAAGTGGTCATACATAGGTAAGCGATAGTACGAGTGCGTAGGTCGATGATCCTAGGCTGCTGGCCCCAGTTACAACCCCAGGTCGTCCGGCCATAGAATTTAGGTTGTCTGTTTTGTCCACGAACCTTTTTCGACTAACGTTGACATCCAAATAAAATTCGTCCCTTTAAAGAATTCGGCACGTGAGTGTATGCAGGGTTTAGTGGCATACGAAATTATGAGCGAGCTGCAACTCTTTGCATGCAAACTATACCTAAAGACAAGCGATATGCATTTTTTCGTCCTAGGAATGGGAAAGAAAATACATCCATCCTGGCTATTTCGAGTTCGTGAACGCCTCAAAAGAAATGTTTGAGCAACCCTGTCCAGATGTCTTCTGGTTTCCCTTCCTTTCGGAACGCTTCAGCAGGGAATTAATTGAAGAATTGGAACATTTTGGCAAGTGGTCGGACGGTAGCCCTTATGATCCCCGTCTGGATGGCGGTTACGAGAATGTGCCCACAATTGACATTCACATGCGTCAGATTGACTGGGAGGAACACTGGATACACCTCATGCAGACATATATATATCCCCTTCAGAAAAGTCTCTATGAGGGCTACACCGACTTGGTGAGTTGTTGAGCACATGGCTGCCTTCAAGATCAGTTTTTCACAATGTCGGGCTAGATTTTTGAGTCCTAATCTAGACCAGTTTAGAGGTTAGAACAAAAGGAATTTTTATCCGTAAATGGTTGTAATCATGGTCGTTTCTTGTTTAAAATTTCTAGCCGACAGCAAGAATGAACTTTGTAGTACGCTACAAGCCGGACGAGCAACCTTTGCTGCGGCCTCATCACGATGCCTCGACGTATACTCTGAATATAGCGCTAAACAAGCCTGGACTCGACTACAAGGTGAATGTTTTTCTTGCCTTTCTGTCGATTGCAAGATGTGTGCATTAGCATGACCGAGATTTCGACTAAGAAATAGTCGATTATGAGGGGGAGTTTCGAAGTGGAAATGGGAGTCCAATTGTTTATGAAGCAGCCGTATGTATTCATCAATAGACCGGTCTGTTCTGTCTTCAAAGAACAATATAGGTTAGTTTTGGAACTCGTTATTTGGAAACCGTGAACTGTACTAGGTGCATTTCCGCCTTGTCGTCGCATTCGCGTTCGTGTGCGCATGCGTCTATCTGATTCGAAAACGTCGTTAAGCAGAGGGACTTGGCTTAAACAGATTAATCCATCGTTGGTTGAATTATCATGAATCCTCAGGGGTCCTGTTAGTGAATGAACCTTAAACGACACAACCGGAGCCGAGGCGTGTTTAGCAGTGCTGGATCGGTCGTCGGAGGCGACAAGGCCATCCTCCACCTCTCAAGGTGAGCGCAGGCGTGTTAATTTGCTTCCAGTGAAGCAGACATGCGTTGAATCTTATCTTCCCGCACCCACGGCGCCCCAATGGCAAGACGAAGTGAAGACGACCGCAACTGGGCGTGTATACAATGAGTAGAGTCCTGAAAAAGCTAGACAAACCACACACGCGTTTCCCCTATGACTTGGTCCACACCTGCTTCAGGGAGTCTAAAATCCCACGCAAGTAGGACAACCCAAAAAGGGCACATTAAGAAGGAGTCATTGAGGCCTAACTCTCGTTTTGAGTAAGGCCGAATTATTCCGTCATCTGGCAGCCTCCGAAACCAGAACTCTTAGTGCGCCGTGATAGGTTCAGGCGCCCCATGTTTGTTATAGTAAGAAGAGCGCCCAGTTGTTATGAGACAGGGTATGCCAGAATCAGCCTCGTTCTCTCTTCCCTCTCATGCGCCGGTAATCCTGCCGGACCTTTTTGACTGTTTAGCAATTAGAGAGTGAAGATACCAATGACTCTGTACGGCAGCTGCGATGTAGTCATCCTAAGCAATGTGCGTTTGCGTGGTCAGTGCACACGCGGTAGTTAGACGGGGGCGTGAGTAAGCGTACGAAAGTGTCTGTCAGTACTAGTCTTGAGGAATCGATTACTCGACTAGCTGAAGCGTGCACTCTTGCGATTGGTTGCCATAGCTTGATGTGGCTAGTTGCCGGACGCTGAGGTTATCGGGCCAGTGGGGATCTACACATTTAACGGCCCATGATCATTTCGGGTCGATTGTTAAAACCTTGTTTGCAATTTTCCCTGCCTCTAAGCGGAAGCCCATGCTAGCTAGGCAGTCACTTCCCCGTGACGAGGTCCCCTTGAAAGTTCTTATACGCTTACATTATTTTGATCCCGACATTAAGTTTTGTTCTGGAGTAACCTTTTTCCCTTCCCATCTGGGGATACCGTAAGCGATTAATATATTGCAGAAAATTATTGCGGCTGAGCAGTAGGCTGTAAATATAAGTTTCCTGTTCATTTTCAGGGTGGCGGCGCAAATTTCATTCGGTACAATTGCTCCGTCGTTGACAGTCGGGTCGGATGGGCGCTCATGCACCCGGGGAGGCTGACCCACCTTCATGAAGGCCTTCCCACCACCTTTGGAACACGCTACATTTTTGTCTCATTTGTTAACCCAACTTAGGCTTCTCCTTGTTGCATTACACACTTAGCCCTTCCTGAATAAACCCTTATCAATGTCTTAGAGGAGCTTCCACGACTTGCCTTTACCTTCTGCTTTTCGTCACCGGTTCTCTGCCTCGCAGCAAAGCGCAAACGCCACTTGATTACTGGCCTCGATGCATTCGCCTGGAAGTCAAAGTAGGGCAAATTTATTCACTGTGTCATGTCAGAAGGCGGCTGTTTGGATCGCGGCGTCCACCCCGTTTTCTTCTCGGTAAGCGTGTGGGTGTTTTAGCCACCGCCAAATCTAGGCTGGACCATCTTCTTCCCAGTTGTGTGATACGTTCTCATCCCCGGAGGTACCTAATTATATTGTGTCGGTCTTATGGTGGTTGTCTGCTGTAAGAATATACAATGTTCACGCCGAGAAGTACGTTTAGACATGTTTTCTGATCATACATTTAACTCTCTCCGGTCTGGCACCTTATTAAGTGTCATTTCTTCTGAGGTTCTGCTGTAGTAGGGATTCTCGTACCCAAACTGGATTGTTGCATAGGCGTGTTGTATGTCGTCTTCATGCTGTACACCAGCCATAGTGAAAATTATAGCAGACTGATAAAACGAGGCGAACAACAATGAAGGTTGTTTTTGGGCTTACTCATACCCACTAACGTCAGCCGAATAATTGCGGTTGGGACTGTGCGTGCGCGGGCCGTGCGTGTAATCCCAAGATGGGATCCTGTCCTTCTGTTGGGAACGTTACCACACCAATAATCAGTCAGTGCATACGCACAGAAATAGGTGCACACCGGACTATTCAGCTTTTCAAAACAGGCTTTCTCGGACACCTAGAGTTGCATGAACTTCGACTCTAAATGACATGGTCTGGGAAATGATTCGCTGCCGTGATCTACTAAACTCCAACACGTGGATGAAGCTGGGCCACATCCCCTGGGGTTGGGATAATATTGAATAGGTGAAACAATGCGAGGGTCCGAGACCACACACACACACGACAGTTTGACTGTCTTTACAGACGATGTCCACTGTCCGACCCACAGTACGGTGGGCACAAGGATGGTGACCTGCGTGTGAATTAGTTTATAGTGATTGTAGACTTGTGCTGCACCTACCACGCTTTCTCCTTCCTCGCCTTCCTGTCAAGGCAGAGTCAGGAAGACCGGAGACGGGATCAAATACAGATGGCTAGTGCGGCGTGGGCCCGCGCCTAGGGGTGTCATCACGTCCTCATCTGTGGTGCGCAGCCCAGTAACGAGTGTCGCATCCTGACCCGGCCCCCCTGTTGGTCCAGCTTAGGGGACGGACCCATCCACAATGGCACACGTGTGTTGCAGAGCAAGCTGGCACGTTTCACATACAGGATAAGAATACGTTGGCCACAGGCCCAGGTGACTCATGTAGCTTTGCCTTGGACGTGTGGTTTATTCGAATCACTGTATCTATCAAGCAAGACTTCCTTCACGAGCACATCCAATTTCCACCTCGGGCAAATACTGGTGTGCTGCCTGGCAAGTGATTGTTCTTACTTCCAGACCGGGATAATCTTTGTTATTTTTGGTAATGCGGACCAAAAAATGACAGCAATCGTTTGAACAAGAGCAGACCTTACGCGGCTCATATGTGCCTGCAGTTCTGAAATAAATTCACAATAACTTTGTCAAAGCCAACAGTTATTTTGCTGTACGCAAAAGTTAAACAAATCTACTTCGAAGTTGGGATCCCCGGGATGCACTTAACAGGACGGATTTGATAGCCGATTTGAGAATTGTTCTACTCATTCTACTTTGCTGGAATCTGGTCAAGATGTCGATTTTTCTTGGAAAGAAAAACCGGTCACGAAATGGGGATTTACTCGTAATTTCCATCCGGACAAATAACACCAAACGTTCATTGAGTTAGCATTGTATCTGTACCACGCGGCGGTTAAGACTGCTGTCAGTCATACTATTAGCGTCAAAACTCAAATTTGCCATTGTAAAGTAATATTTGTCGCGATAGGGATCATACCTTAAGTGGTTAGGATTACCACAGGTGATGCCGATGTAAGGTAACAGGCGCTTGAACGTTGCATTTTTTAAGGAATGAAAGCCCGAGCTGCAGGGATACCTTGGAGACTGGCCATGGGATTGCCAATTCCACGAGTGCCGTTGGTGAGCACAGTTTTGTTTCACTAATATTGGTCTAGGATTCAGGAAATTTGCGGTCCATGTATCCTTTAACATTTTTGATGACCCTTGAGTAACTGTATTTATTTCCGTTGGAGTAACTCAAAATCTCCATCCACACTAGCGTTTGCTTAACGAACGTCACAGCGGGCCAAAACGTTGCCGCAAAAGCACGCTTCAAAGTCCGCGACATAATTCGCCTGACCTCCGTCAGTCCTTGAAAAAACTGCACCAAATAATTCATTTTCATAATTAAATTTCTCATTATGTTTTAAAAGACAGGTCTCATTATCTAAGGCCCAGAGTAAACCTATTAAAATAAACCGAGAGATGACAAATATAATTCTGCTATTGCTGAAAAGTAAGAGCGAGGCAAGAAACATTAACTGCCGTTCCGGCGACGAAAATGCTTAACTTCGTCTTGGATCTCAACTATTTGCCCAACCGTGCAACCTACCTAGAAAATAAACAGGATGCGGATCAGCCCAGTTTGACTAATGGTCTTATTTCGGATGACTTTACTACTCACTTATCATTGGTAAACTACCAGAAGGTTAGCACCAACGGACAGTGAGGTCAGTCCATCTTGTATTCTGTCCCATGAAGTATTTGACGTCCGTAGAAACATCCGCCAATATGTAGATTTCCTCCAGAAGTATCATAGCCCACAGAATTGTGACTAAGTCCGTGTATCAAAAACAAGCGAACCTGGTGTGGGAAGTCTGAAAACCGAAGTTTGAGACTCCGTTGCCACACGAAAGTTGGTTACACGATCTCGAAAATTTTACAATTAAGCTTTCAAGATACCTAATAAATAGCCAGAGGGACGTTGAGGCCAGCTGTACCTACCTATGTATGTACGTGAAAGGTTACAGACAGAGCCGTTAATGACCCTATCTATGTAGAATGACTCCGCATATGCATACTTTAACGGCCTTGATTGCGGATAAGCATTTCCACTCGTTTCGGCCCACGTACTCTTGGATCTCTTCGTTCTCGTGAGCCGTCCAGGTGTCCGGCATCCCGCGCAACCGCTAAACAACGACATAATACCTTGTAACTTGAACGAGGGTGTTGAATTGATGGGAGTGATATCATAAATCTATGCCTCTAGACAGTTATTTTACCTTCTAGCAGTCTTTTCCTCACACGTCTGCTCCTTGAAGTTTAAAAGTGCGGTCAGTTTCTCCACTGTCATCTGCACGTTGGAGTCTAGCCTCTGTGTTAACTGTCTGGCCCTGCTAGCGTGTCCGCAAGTTTCATCCGGACTCTCCGACACAGCTACGGGCTCCACCATTACAGGAAACTTTGCTGACACTACAGAGTTTTCGACAAGCGGCGGTGTGTAATTAGGCTGCATCTGGGTGCAGGTAATTTTGGCCATGTAAAATTACCAACCTAAAGTAGGATAGTTGACAGGGCGCCTCAGAGACTGCTTTGATGCAAAGGATGATCTTAAAGACTTCGAAAGGTTGCTGTTTTGGTCGTCCAATGTTTGCTTTGTCCGGAAAAATACATGGGTATCCCTTCATCAACGGGCTGCTTTGTGCCAGCGCTATTCAACAAATGTAACTCTGCCAAAATATCTATGAATTACGTGAGCCTGGTAGTCATCTGGTGGATTCTAGGTGAATTGTTTAGGAAATCCTGCTTGGGCAGTCAACTTACTGTATCAGATTTGGTGGATTCCAGACTTTGCAGTAGGTTGGGCGGGTAACTTGAGCCAAATAAGATTAAACTCGCGTCGTCCAGTGATGCCTCTTAGCTCAGACGGTTAGAGCGTCAGATGTACTTAAGCCTTCCCATTACTGCGTGGGTTCGAGTCCCACCGAGGCGCCAAGGTTTTCACAGTTGGGTCAGTATGAAACGTAACTTTTTTCCTAATCTCTACTTCAGAATGGGAAATCGCCACGGTGACTAGATAGAAGGGTTTCAAACACGCGTGAATGAGATAATGAGGTTGGTGGAAAAGGACGAAATATTTGTCTTTGCTGGCGAGATAATGTGCAAAACGGTAGCTTACTTTCATCTTCGAGGACGCTAAATTCCTCAGCTGAGGAAATGAACTAGGATCTGAAGAGGCCCTCGAAGCCTGCCCCTATCACTATCCTTCGGGCTCACCGAGTTGGAGGAGACGCATCCCAAGAAACTAAACCAAGGGAACAAGTAAGTGGGACTGCAAACACAAACGGCCATAGTAAGATAGGTTAAGCGGCTACAATGTAGGCCTCGAACGATGGGGACGACAATTCCAACTGGCAAAAATCGAGAAATCACCGTGGCTGGGGAGGCGCGGACAAGTGGTCAACGCCACGCGCGCCAAGCCCCTCAGTAGTGGACGAGCCTAATCATTCCCGAGGACAAAAGACACTTTCCGCGGCCAGGATGAACCGGTGCTCGTAAAGGCTTACGTTACGACCAATGGTGCCGTTGCATGACTAGAAGAAGCAATTCTGATTTATCGGCTATCTTCAGTCGGTCATGACCAAAGCCAAGGCTGGGTAGTTCAGGCCTCCAGACCGAACATTTCGGCAAATAATTCATATGCTCCATCATTAGACCGTGGGATCGTGTTCTGTCGACGTGGTAGATACAGTCTTCGGTAACGAACGGTAGTCTGTTTTCTAAAATTAAAGACCGTTAAAATTGTGTACTTCAGAAGGTCGATTTTTTCTTCCGTACATTCCAAGGGCCAGTCTACCCTAACGTGCACAATTTTTTCTCAGGGACCTAAATCGTGTCAGCCTGACATCCCCCTTAGATCCTTGTAGACAGAAAGAAAATTATCTCATTCGGAGTCCTATGGAAGTCAGTGCTAAAATACTGAACGACGGTT